CAATATATATGGAAAAAGTGAATGCTCTACGTATTTTTGATAAAGCAAAGGATGATTACTTTGAGGATTTGAAAATAAAATATAAACAAAAATATTAAGTACAGTTATTTACCTTTTTGCCTTTGCTACATAATTAAGTAAGTTATCAATTAAAATATATGTTTTGGGACTTTCTGACCCATTTGGAATTATATGAACAGAGTGAAAGAATAATGCACAAAAAAAAAATCAGATAATTCGAATTTGGCCATCTGGAAAAGCACTCCGCGACTTATTATTATCTCCACAACGTCGGTTTTATGTGGCGCTTTTCACGGTAACACAAAGACGCTTCACAGTAAACACTAAAACAAGACCAGGACAGACAAAAACAGTAATGAGGAGCAGTCGTGTGTGGGCGCTGTAGGCTCTGAGGAAAAGGTGTGTTCGGAGCGTTTTTTTGAAGGTGTTGGACTGAAGTACAGTACACCATCTTTAATGGATACAAAAAAAGATTACACTTTCTGACCTATTTGGTAATGTATGAATGAATGAAACGAGGAAAACTAGACTTATTGCAGTGTCAGATCTCAAGCAATGTTCCATAAGATATACGGTTTTTAATGTCAACAATGTGTGGCCATTTGAGGGCTTGTTTACAGACAGCGTATCGTGAAACTAGTGTTGTCACAATACTGAAATTTCCAACTCAATTTCGATGCTAATGAACACTGTCAGGCGAGTTACTTCAAAACTGTAATGTGTTATTTATTACTTGTTACTGTCATTTCAAAGTAATTTGTTACATTACAACATTACTGCATTTAAAATGTCAGATATTGCACGACTATTGCAGCACTTTAAATTACTCTCAACAAAAAAATGTTGAACTTTTGCAACGTATATGGACTGAATCAGGACTGAACCAAGGACTGAACCAGGAGGACTGAACCAGGTCTAAACCAGGACTAAACCAGGACTAAATCAGGACTAAACCAGGACTGAAACGAGGACTGAAACGAGGACTAAACCAGGACTAAACCGGGACTAATCATGGACTAATCATGGACTAATCATGGACTAATCATGGACTAATCATGGACTAATCATGGACTAATCATGGACTAATCATGGACTAGACAGAACCCTGAGCCTGTGGAGCGGGGTGTCTGAACAAAGCGTGATTGGGCGTCGGCTGCACTTCGCCCCGTGGAGCGCAGAGCTCTTTGCCGGTCCTGTCCCAACATTCGGAACCGTAACGTTGGCGTTTCACCGTTGCTGATTTTAACAAATTTCATTTCAGGTTAAAATGCATTGTGACGAGCGTTTCTGACATGTGTACCAAGTAAAATATTACCATTTTTTCCCTTTAATGCCTTACATTACTGCGTTACAGCAAAAAGCAATGCATTACAGTAATTTGTTACTTTTACAACACGTTACTCCCAACACTGCTAAGGAATAGACCTGATACTCAGTACTGATTCCAATCCCACGATGACAGTAAAAACGCTCTTTCTTTAGACAATAGAACGTGATTTTCAACATTAAATCGCAGTACTTTCTTTTCTATTCCCATGTGGTCTTATATGTGTGTAAATGTGATATTTTTAAGTATCAATACCTGCTCAAAAGCGTATCTAGTTTCAATAATAGTTATAGTATCATTTAATATCTGATTTTGGACACCTTTAAAGGCCATGTGATAGTTTGTGTTGTGTGTTTTCGGTGTGTTTACAGAGTCATGTAAATAGTGAAATATTTCCTCTCGCGTTGCATTGGTTCCCCTCTTGAGCATTTGAAAGAGTCCATTGTTCGGGCCTGGGCTGTTCTGTACATGTGTGAGCTGTGGGGAGGGTGGAGGAGTGAGTGCACGGAGAGATACAGGGCTATCATGGAAACACAGGCAACCACTCCAAAACACACGAGACTTAAAGGGCCCACGTTACGCCGCTTCCTCATCTGTGTTATAATGTCGTTTCCTCATCGCAAACACACCTGGAGTCGTGTTTCGTTTCATTCACACACATTTAACACACGAACTCTGCACATTTAGGCTGAGTTCTTCTCTCAAACGTAAAACACTCTTCTTTTCCACCTTGTCATGTCATGTGGTATTTTTAAACTCCACACACCTTCACTAGAATCATTTGGATAATTTCAGCCCTGCGAGTGCCAATCTCTACTGAACTAAAAGTAAAAAGGTAGCTGTTCACTTCAAAACTACTATTACTACACGACATTACAAGGTGGAAAAGAACATTTTGAGGACTGGCGAGAATAACTCGGCCTAAATTTACAGGGTTTGAGAGTGAAACAAGTGTGAATGAAAGGCTTCTGTTTCAATATATTGCGTATTTTTTAGTTCTTTTTGTGACCGCACTATAATTTTGTTGCTTATTTTAGTGTAAGGAAACATGTTTATTAGGGATGGTACGAGATTTCATGCCACAAGATCTTGCACACATGAGAAAAACAATCTTGTAAGATTTTTTTTCCATGTGTTTATATTTGGATTGGACAAAAAAAAAAAAAAAAAGAGTCACATGTCCTACAGTTCCAAAAAGCAGTACTAGGATAGAAACAAGAATATGAAATCAAATAAGCAAAAATTGTGAGGCCAGAATCGGAAACTGAATCGTGAAATGTGCACTAGCAGTCAAAAGTTTTAGAACACCACACTTCTTCCAGTTTTTGAATGAAAGCATAGAATAAATAAGCAATTTGAGTTGAAAAATAAATCATGGAATCAATTTATAGACCAAAACGTATTCATTCATAAACTTTTGATTCATGAAAGCGTCCACCTTTGTCAGATATAACAGCTGAAAACACTCGTGGTTCGTTCTTTTTACAATAAAAATCAAATATTCTTCAGAAAGTTCTTCCCAAATCTGTCGCAGAAGTTCTCATAAATGTGTGGCACTTGTCGGTTTCTTGGTTTTCACTCTTCTGTCCAGTTCATTCCAAACCACCTCGATGGGGTTTAAGTTTGGAGACTGTGCTGCACACTCCATGTTTTCAAGCTTTACCATCTTGTTTTTTTTTCCTGAGGTGGTTTCGGCAGAGCTTGGACTTGTGTTTTGTATCTTTTATCTTTTTTTTTTAACCTCTGGCTGTTCAGTTCTTACCTTTGCACCATTTCAAGCTTTTCATTGGACTTGGAATTGCGATAAATAAATGGAAAAATTAGGGTGTTTTAAAACTTTTGACTGGCAGTGTACATATTGGGATATATTATTTTAAAATCTCGTCTTGTCTCTTTCTCGTGGACCCAATTTCGTACCTCGTTTTGTGGAAATTGTGTCTCGTCCCTAGTGTTTATGTAGTATATTTACTGTTTTGTTGATTAAACTACACGCATTTCATATTAACTTTGCACAAATAATGGTTAAACGAAGAAATATTGTAGGATGCTGGATAGATAGAATAGATTGTGTGCACTTTTGTGGCCTTTATGGCGTTACATCTTCTTCAAATCAACTGACTTTATGTGCTCTTTTACGGCATCCATAAATTTCTTTCCTCTTCTTCTGGACCTTTGAACAACTCTGAGATTGAGCTAAGAAAGATGCTTTGATCTGCTGATACTTTGCAGCAGATGTCATTAAAGTTCCCTGGGGGCGTGGTGCTAACTGTAGGCACAACTCTGTCTAAAGGTCTCTTACTCAAGTTAGACTTTAACCTGGACTTTAATTTAACTCACTCTGACCATAAAGAAGTGACTCAGGTGGAACTACAACAGGTGAGCTGATTCGTGCGCCTAATCAAACTCCTACACAGGACCATGAACGCTCGTAAATAAAATCAATTTAGATCCATTTTGTATTTTTAAGTGAGTTTTCACACTATCGTAAATCCTATTTTGGCAGCGTTTGTTAATGTGTGCATTGTGTCTTCATGGTAACTGGTGAAAGGACTAAACCAGGTTTTAACCAGGATTAAAACAGATCTAAACCAGGACTAAACAAGGACTAAACCAGGATTAAACCAGATCTAAACCAGGATTAAACCAGATTTTAACCAGGATAAAAACAGATCTAAACCAGGACTAAACCAGATCATTACCAGGATTAATACAAATCTGAACCAGGACTAAACCAGGTCTAAACCAGGATTAAAACAGATCTAAACAAGGAGTAAATCAGGACTAAACCAGATCTTATCCAGGATTAAAACAGATCTAAACCAGGACTAAACAAAGACTAAACCAGGACTAAACCAGATCTTAACCAGGATTAAAACAGAGCTAAACAAGGACTAAACCAGGACTAAACCAGATGTAAACCAGGATTAAAACAGAGCTAAACAAGGACTAAACCAGGACTAAACCAGATGTAAACCAGGATTAAAACAGATCTAAACCAGGACTAAACAAGAACTAAACCAGGACTAAACCAATTTTTATCCAGGATTAAAACAGATCTAAACCAGGACTAAACCAGGAGTAAACCAGATCTTAACCAGGAGTAAACCAGGACCAAACCAGGACTAAACCAGGTCTAAACCAGGATTAAAACAGATCCAAACCAGGACTAAACAAGAACTCAACCAGGACTAAACCAGGATTAAACCAGGACTAAACCAGACCTTAACCAGGACTAAAACAGATCTAAACCAGGAGTAAACTAGGAGTAAACTAGGACTAAACCAGATTTAAACCAGGACTAAAACACGACTAAACCAGGACTAAACCAGGATTAAACCAGACCTTAACCAGGACTAAACCAGATTTAAACCAGGACTAAAACACGACTAAACCAGGACTAAATCAGGTCTAAACTAAGTCTAAACCAAGTCTAAACCAGCACTAACTCCAATATACATACATGTAGAACACCCCCAGCGCAATGTCACTGCAAAGTATCAATAAAAAGGAAGGGTTTGAGCACAGAGATGAATTAAACAGAAAAGCCCTGAACCCCATTACAAACATCACTCCGGGGTCAGATCACGTATTGATTTTATATTGTCAAACGGTTCAGTCTTAGATTTATGTGTCTTGTGTCTGTGTGGTTCACCTTGAGCTTGCTCTCGCAGTGAGGGAACCCGTCCAGCGGGGGCAGCTCGCACTTCTCCTGCGCTCCACTCAGCAGGTCTGATAACACACGGCAAGAGACAGAAGATCGATCAGGTCAACGGCAGAGAGACGAGGCCAGTGTCTCTACATACACTTACATGGAGAGCACATTTAACAAGCAACAAACAACAGCTCCAGTGAATGTGACGGGAGATAGACCAGTTTAAAAGCTCCGTATTACTCTATTTTCTTATCTATGTTATAAAGTTGTTTCCTCATCACAAAAAATACCTGGAGTTGTGTTGATTTTAAGTAAGGCTACATCCACACAACAGCGCTCCTGGATTTTTATTTTTATTTTGGTGGGTTGAAAAATAATAGTGGATCAATAAATATTCACGTCCAGACGACAACGGAGCACTGAGTGAAAACGATGTAATACATATGTCACACCTGTATGTGGCGCTGTTAACAATGATAATAATAATATCTAATAATGCATATCTCATCACCGTTTTTTTAAACTTTAAAGTAATTTAGCCGATTTTAGATCCCAGAAATATAGACGCTTCTGTTTTGCAAAAGTTAAACATCAGTTTTCATTTTTAGCCAAAAGATTTGGATGAGAATTATTAAAATAACTTCTCAAAAGCCAACAGTTTAATTACTCGTGCATAATCTTTGTTTTTGATCCGTGTGCGTAATCTGCGTGGTGTGATTACAGTGTGTATCTGGTGTGTATCTCGGTTGTTGGGCGACAGGAGCGGCTCCGTAGGCTACACCTGTCACATTTCGGCAACGGTCTCGCGCTCTGCAGAGGCCAGTTCGAGTCTAGTTTTCCAAAAGTTGTGATTTGCTTGTCAAATCGCAACTTTTTTGATTTGGACATCAAAAAAATGTGTAATTCAGTTCACAATTTTGTTCTTTCTGTAATAGTAGCCATTACTTTTTGGAACTACAGTACACTACTTCTCAGGTGGTGTTACTGTACCTCAGCAAAGTTGACCCTTTATTTATCTGAATCAAACAACATGAAAAAACACGTCAAGAGATCGTTTTTCTCATGTGTTTACAATCTTTTATCTCACAAGTTTAACTCACAAGATCTTTTGGCACGAGATCTTTCCCATCACTTCAAACAAGATGTTAATAAAATATATTACAAATGTAATATTCATGATTTAAGGATAAGACGTAAAGCAAGTTTAAACAAGATCTACAGGGCAAAACAAGGACGCACTGCAAACTTGATTAGGTGTAAGGACTAAACCAGGACTAAACCAGATCTACACCAGGACTAAACCAGGACTAAACCAGGACTAAACCAGGACTAAACCAGGACTAAACCAGGACTAAACCAGGATTAAACCAGGACTAAACCAGGATTAAACCAGGATTAAACAGGTCTAAACTAGGTCTAAACCAAGACTAAACTACATCTAAACCAGGTCTAAACCAGGTGTTCAAACTGGCACAAACTCAGGTCTAAAGACTGATTTTGCTGTATTTAAGTCTATTTATTGCCCATGTCTGTACTATAAAAAAAATCAAAGACAGAAAGTACGCCTAAACCAGGACTCTACCAAACCACAATCAAACCAGGTCTAAACAAGGACTGTGCATTAAAAAGGCCCATATTACTATTTTCTGATCTATGTCATATTGTTGTTTCCTCATCACAAACAGACCTGGAGTTGTGTTTTGTTTCATTCACACATGTTTAATTAACACACAAATCCTGCATATTGAGGCTTAGTTTTTTGCTCAAATAGAAAAAAATCGGTTCCAACTTGTGATTTAAACCTCATACACGTTCAATCTCGACTGAACTAAAGGTAATGTAGATGTGGACAGACAAATAAACCAAGATCACTCAAACATGTGTGAATGAAACAAAACACAACTCTGGGTATGTTTTTCGGATGAACAGCATTACATTAAGCCCAAAAGCTCACAAGAGTCAATTTTGTGTAATATAGGAAGGACCTTTCACACTAAGTCAATGTAGTCAGTAAGAGGATTAACACTTACTTTCACAAACATAAGTGTGTGAGGGAAGTGTGGTCTGTGGTTTTCATTAAAACAGAGAGTCTTTGTTTATGAGTGGAAACTGGAGCCATTACAACACAATACGACGCAATAAAGGTCAAACAATGGAGCTAATTTAACCATTTAAGTGTTTGACTTGCCGATACATAATTACAACACGGGCGAAGGGTCCAGATTAATTACACAGCCAAAAGGTGTCATTAGCATGCTAGTCCCACATGTAATTAAAAGTGTGATTAAGTGGAACGGCTCGCTCGCTTTAGAAACCGACCGGGTATGCGTCATGAGATGAAGTTTTCAATTATTCTTCGGGGAAAGTTTGCAAAAATTGTGAACACAAACAGAATATGCAAAGTTAGATGAAGTTGTACGTGAGCAAAAGTACAGCTACTACTAAATAAGATCATTATTAAAGGTCCTATATTACACAAAACTGACTCTCGTGAGCTTTAAGTCGTGTTATAATGTTGTTACCTGATGAAAAACATGACAGGTTAGTGTAGTTTCTAATTATTACTTGGTCTAAATGACATTTTGTGGGGAAAGAAAGTACAAAAATATGGGAAGTAGTGCTGAGTTACCTCCTCTAAATCCAGTGTTGGGGAGTAACAGATTACATGTACCGGAGTTACGTAATCAGAGTACAAATTATGAGTAACTGTATTCAGTTACAGTTACTGTTTCAATGAGAGGTAAGTGGATTACAGTTACTTTGTTGAAATAAATGGATTACACGGCGGTATGTTCCTGTTTTCACATTTTGGGCTAAACCAGGTCTAAACCAGGACTAAAACCAGGACTAAAACCAGGACTAAAACCAGGACTAAAAACCAGGACTAAAACTAAAACCAGGACTAAAACCAGGACTAAACCAGGACTAAACCAGGTAAAACCAGGACTAAAACCAGGACTAAACCAGGACTAAAACCAGGACTAAACCAGGACTAAACTAAAACCAGGACTAAAACCAGGACTAAACCAGAACTAAAACCAGGACTAAAACCAGGACTAAAACCAAACTAAAACCAGGACTAAAACCAGGACTAAAACCAGGACTAAACCAGGACTAAACCAGGACTAAAACCAGAACTAAAACCAGAACTAAAACCAGAACTAAAACCAGGACTAAAACCAGGACTAAACCAGGACTAAAACCAGGACTAAAACCAGGACTAAAACCAGGACTAAAACCAGGACTAAACCAGGACTAAACCAGGACTAAAACCAGAACTAAAACCAGAACTAAAACCAGGTCTAAAACCAGAACTAAACCAGGACTAAACCAGGTCTAAACTAGGTCTAAACCAGGACTAAAACCAGGACTAAAACCAGGATTAAAACCAGGACTAAATAATATGACACTAACAGTAGGTGGACATAATTTCAGGCAGCAGTGTCTCATATAGAAATAATTTCTCTATCAATAATATTTTTAATATTTTTAAGTAAAGACTGGTGTAAACAGACTAATAATAAAGAATTAGTCAAACATGTGTGAATGAAACAAAACACAACTGCAGGTATGTTTTAAAGGAGGTAACTCAGCACTACTTTCCATATTTTTTCTATCCTTTCATTTCCCACAAATTGTCATTTAAACCAAGTAATAATTAGAAACCATGTTAACCTGTCGTACATGTTTAAGAAATGTCATTAAAGTCTTTACTGTATTAACGTCAGGGATTAAAGTGGTGTTTTCTGGTCTATGCTGTCATGTTTCCTCATCAAAAACAGACCTGGAGTTGTGTTTTGTTTCATTCCCACATGTTTGAGTAATCCTTTATTATGTTTTTGAGAAAGTAACAACATTATAACACGGCTTAAAGCTCACAAGAGTCAGTTTTGAGCAATAGAGGACCTTGAAATCGTCAAAAAAATCGCCTATTGTTCCCGCATTTTTAAAGGATGTTTGACGATATAGGTAGAGGTATTGGAACTCAGCAACTCGGCGCTGCTTATTATGTTTTTGTACTCTTTTCTCTCCACAAACTGCCACTTGACTGATGTAAAAATGTGATAAATATCTACCACGATAACCCAGCTATACCAAGAAGTAATTGGAAAACCACGCCAACTTGTCATACGTGGTTTAACTGTGACTCGAGCCTTTGTTGTATTAACGGAGAGGGATTAGACCGCAGTTTCACCTTTGCATGTGTAATCTGCCCTTTTCAATAACTATACTAGGTCAGACACTAAAGCATTTTCATTTCTGGTGGATAAATCCTCACTTTTATTATCCCGGGAGCCAATAATACGAGTGCGATTATAGGTGGGAAAGCAGGTTTCGTAAGAGCACCTTTTGATTCAGTTCATTGGGGATGTTAGCGTCATCATCGCCACGCACTGACCTCTCTGAATAAATAATGCATGGGAACAGTGGATAGATGAAAGCAGGAAGCAGAGAGCGCGCTGGGTAATGAAAGGGCTGTGGGTGGAGTTTTCCCATTAAAAGTCAATGGTTCTTCAATTTCCTGCAGTTGGACATGGCAGGACCGGGCTCAAACGGGTTATGTTATGATAGAATACTGATTTGACTGAGTTCATATGTTTCAATAAATAAATATATTAGCTGATTTTTTTCATTTTTACTTAGAATCACGTAAATTTAATATAGAAGTTTAGCATTTTAAAGGTCTAATATTACAGGGTATCACCAGGTTTGACTATGCCAAATTTAAGAACTTTTAAAAGATCTTTTTAAGACCAACATCGCACCCAAAAACACAAGATCCAATACTAACTAGAAAAGCACTCAGAGAGCGCAGACCTGCGCCAAGGACTACCCCCATTTTTTTATATAAATTGCGATAAAATCAGTCTTCTGGATCAGATCCAGATCAGCCTTTGGAATATGAAAGAGGATCCCATTGTCCATCCCTGAGTCAAATTTCATGGGGTTTGGTCAATAATTAACCGAGATATTGAGAAACAAAATTTTTGGCCCCATTTACCACAATGTTAACAAAAATTTCAAAGTGATCCAGAGTCCAGGATTTCTTCCGGATCACCCCCAAAATGAAATCAGT